TCAAAACACATATGGTAATTGCTCTGTTATCTATTTCGGGTTAGTTTCACTTATTTTTGGAGACGACGATAGTAGAAGTCTGTGATCCCTGAAAAGTGAGAAAACATAATGCAATCTCTGTCTTAGTAAGGAGGAATGCCTCTAAGCACGAAGAATGAAGTTTAACGTTCATGAATAACAATAAGCACAAATCGCCTTCAGGGTTTCCAGCTGTGTTGGGATTGGAGGGTAACATTTTTACAAGCAAGGAAGCAGGCGAAATATATGCATTTTCTTTCCGACAATTCGAGCTGAATTTGGAAAACTGAATGTGCTACTGAAAGAGGGACACGCAAAAAATACAGTGAGGGATAAAATAAAGCAGATAGCTGTAATCTGAGAAAAAAAGGTCTGTAAATGACTGAAACGTTAGAACTTCAAAAATTTAAACTCTTCATGATGATGATGATGATAATGATGACGACGACGATGGGGTGGTTACGAATAATTAGGAAAAATTTACTGCCTCAATTTTCAGGGCAGAGAAGAAAACGAAACAAGTAATAAGCAAGGGGCATGCATGCTGGTTACTATGGCTTACTCTTCAATTCTCAATATTATAACACTATGTTCTTCCGAAACGTCGGCGAATTTCAACCGGAATATATGGTGCTACATCGTAAAAGGTAGCGCTGTTAATAGTCACCGCCGTGAGAACTTCAAACCCACCGATCAAGATGATAATGGACCAAAAGTCATTCCTGAGAAGCTGACAGTTGCTCATTTAACAAGAAATATCCCAGACTGGATTAGGAGCAGAAGCTGTCACAAGAATCCGCTACCTGATTGTTTCCTCACCACTTTCAGATGACTAACACTTACACCTTCTCATTCCGTGTCTGTATGATCCCTATTGTGGCATGCAGACCCGTTGCTAGACAACGACCGCGAAATAAGCAACAATACAACAGGGGTTGCAAACTAATGGTGACGCAAAGAAGCATGTTTCCACGGCAACAATTGTACTGCAACAGAGGAGCGGTGTTTTCTGTGTGGTCAATGCCAAGATGTTATAATTTGGGCCAGTTAGTGAGGAGTCAGTCAGAGTGGACAGGGAAGTTCTGAAGGCTTCCAGAGCCTTCACACACTAACATATGGTCATTAGCCCGTGAGACTCGGAACCAAGAATCGCTATGCTGGTGAGGACCAGCAGCAATTCAGCAGTCAGTGAATTAGAGGATTGCTGGGGTTCAGTCGTTGTGAGCTGTTGCTGTTACAATCTGTGACAGTTCGGAAAAGCAGTGGACGAGGAACGTCGGCCGTTCGAAGCCGCTTCCACGCAAGTTCATCGAAGAATTCACTAGTGTGTGTAATAGTGAACTATAAATTGTAGTCACGAGTTGTTTAAGAGTTCAATAAATCCGACTACCAATCAAAAGCCCGTCTGTAGTCACACTCCATCACGTGACACTGATATTATCAACCTTACATCCATGCTTTTGTCTTCCAAGCGACCCATCGCCTTCAGATCTTCCGACTGAATCACTTTATGTATTTCTCGTGAAACCGTGAATGCTACATGTCAAACACATTCCCTGTTCCTAGATCCCATTGCCCTAATATTTATAGCAACCTCTCCATGCGTTGCTATGTTGACGCGGCGGGAAATTTCGCAAGCATTGATCGCCTGGAGACCTGTGCTAGCGGGAGCGTAAGTTTGTGGTAGTGCCACACATTCTCGAAGGCCCGAATGGTAAGAGCCAGCTGAAAGGATGGCCCTGGACCTCCAAGTTAAGGTTGGGACGTGAGAGGAAGAACCTCACCCCTTAAAACAATATACAGTAGGTTAGAAACCTAACGATGGATTCCGGTTGGATGGAAAGGGGTGTATGTTTGCTGGAAAGGAAGTCATGGTTTTGGAGGAAAGTAGAGCCAAGTAATAAAGAAATGTTTACAGAAGAGTACAGATTATGAAGCCGCTCACTATGCAGTTTAGTAATAAATGTGACTTTGGTGTACTAATCAGTTGATATTGCAAAAGAAAGTGTGCTTTATGTAATCCTATAGAAATTGCCCAGGGAAAATATTGCTTCTGCGGAGAAAAATTGAAACAGCTGATGATACTTCAAGCTAGATACGAAGCTTCAGTAACTGCAAGTATCAAAATATTGTTACGTATGAGTGACTATAGACGGGATTTGGATTCGTGACTCGGTTTAACGTGCAATTATACACTCACTACTCGTGACTACACTTTGCAGATCACTGACACACACAGACTAGTGTCCTCAATCTAACACAGTCTTCACTAGTCACTTCCTAGCAACGGATTTTAACATAGGAACTATACCAGTCTCACTGCATTACACACCCAAAATGTCACACATAAGGGCTTCTCTTCAGAGTCGGACTTTCAACTGAGCACTCTTGCAATTTAGTAGCCCCAAACCGTCCTAGTTGTAACATCTCGGCAAACACTACAGAAAACACCGTGCTTATGCTGTATCATTGTTGTGTTTGTGTCTGTTGCTGCGGGAATGTGTTTACTGAGCTTGTGTCTACAAACGTCAGCGTCAGAGTTGCTTTACGGCTGACGGTTTACTGCCAATCAGTTCTTCTTGGCGCCAGGCCCCTTGAGGCCGATGACCAGAGTTCTTACTTTCCAGCTGCACTCTTGCGGTAATAGTCCTTATGTAACACCCTCTATGACGAGAAGACGGGTCTGTCTCTTATGAATACAATCGACCTTTCGTCAAGTGTATATTTCGCACATATAGTGTTATCGAAAACTCTTCCTTTTGCCTTACACTCAAGTCCTCTGTCAGTACAGGCTTTACAGAGCAGATCATGCCTATCTTACATATCTTATGCTACAACGAAAACTTAATCATTTGAAAGGTCGTAAGCTTGACCACCGCCAAGTTTAAGCCTCTTATATTTTCTGTGTCTGGCTTCACCTTGTCCTATACCGCGAACATGTTCATTATCATGGTTTTGTATGACTTCTGCTTGTCGCCTGCACAATTCTGTTATATAATCGTATACATACGGAAAGTTGAAAGCCGTGTGCAAGTCGCGGACCAGTGCGGACTGGTCTCAGAGTCAGAGTTACTTTACGACTTGTCTCCAGGTCCAAGTCACATTGCGACTGACATTCAGTCAGTCAGTCAGTCAGTCAGTAAGTCTTGGTGTCGAGCCCCGTCTGGGGCTCATGACGAGATATTTATTACTGTTGAACGTCACGGTTTTGTTTTTGTGTTTTTTTTTTCTTGTTGCTGTTGGACCTTGTAACTTGCATTCCGGCCCAAGAAGGAACAGCATGTCCAAGGGTTAACCTCGCCCGCTGCTATCGAAACGCTGCTTCAATCACCTCGTTGTTTGGATATTACCAGCCTTTGTTCCAGTTCCTACGTGTTGCAGTGGGAACGCTGGTCGTTGCCTAGGAAATCAACTCTGATCTCTTCAACCATTCCCGCTTTCTGGGGGAAGGTCATAATATCATTCACATTTCACTGTGCACCGTGAGTTTATTGGTCTTAAAATAATGGCAGTGTACTACATTTGAAAATATTTGTTAATATGTACTGCCTGACAATGGACTTATACGCAAAAACATGTAGCACATTGTTACGAACTGTTCAGACCAATAAACTCACTATACAGAGTCAAATGTGAAGGAGATTCTGATAGATGTTGCGTTGAGACGGAAACATAACGAAGAAGTTATACTGCATTTTATTTATATTGCGACTGAATGCCTAAGAGCCTCTATATAGGAATCAGAGAAACGTTTCATAAGCGTCCATTCCTACGCAACGGCTTGTCAAAACACGTTTATGCGGAAACGAATATGAACACAACGGTATACGAGATGATGGATATATTGTTTACTCCTCGTTGCCTGGAAGTAACAAAGGGAGGACTGATTACCAGTTGCCAAAGACAGGAAGACAGTTACTAGCAACAAGCACGACAGGATAATCTTGGAGAGGGCTGTAGTTATTTGAAGAATAAGGACAGTAGTAGAATACACTTATTTGCAGTTGAGAGTAATAAGTAATCAGTAAACTCAATTACCAATCCGAATCCTCTGTGTAGTCACTAACGCGTGGCAATTGCTCTGGGCGCATTTTATTACAATAAGATTCTACAATATTATTAATAATGTTACGTGTTTGCAATCCAGAAGAGTCCGTTTTTGGAAACGCTACAACAGACCGTTGCATAGGAAGTAACAATAGCGATACTGTAATCCCAACAGTGAGCCGTTGTGTCGAGAACATCGAATCTCCATGCTTACGACGAATACGCGAAGCGTTCCCACAGAGACAACGCAATAACAATGGGTCATTGCGTAGGAATCGCGGAACCAACAAAGCAACTGGGGGATGTCGTAGTATGAAGAGACAACCACTAGTTGAAATGTCCTATAGGGTTTATTGCAGCTGCACAGTATACACAGACGGATAACAACAATAGTGAACTGCTTGAACAGTGAACTAGAATTGTAGAACGGTAGAACTGTCACTGTAACTCAGTGTATCTTCTTATGTAGCCTAGTCGGACAAATAGAAAACGGTTATGTAATAGGCACTGCTGTTGCCAGACCCGTGTTTACAAGTTCCCTAGCAACCGCTGTTTACTCGCTTTTGCCAGGCAACTGTTGTTTACTCGTTGTTGCTAAGCATTGTCACACTTGCTTGAATGTGGTCAGTTCCCACACAACGTTTCCATAGTTATAACAGAGGGTTCATTTCCATAGCAGCGGCAGAGGGTATAAATAGGCCAGCTTCGGCGAAAAGCAGTCAGTCTGGAATCAATCGCCGAGAAAGACAGTCTAGCACTTCATCGAGATATAGTGTAAGCAGTCATTGAAATAATACGAGTGACAACGATTGTAAAGTGTGTGATTCTATCTATATCTAATACGGCGTAAAGTTATTTGTAGCGTGACATACCCAAACACGCTACAATATTTTATTGCACTAGGTTAAACAAAGAGGAAATATCGTGCGAAAAGAATGACTAAAAGGCGGGAAAACTCACCTCGACGAAAAGAAGACAATGACAGTTATGAAAGCCGTGCGCAACCAAACGGGAAACGCAGAAAAATGGGTGATATTGCTTCTGAGAACAGCAGAGATGCTGATTGTCCTCATTTACCAGCGGTGACTGCAAAGGTGAAGACACCGGTTCGTCGAATAGAAGACACTGACAGCTGCAGTGACACTGATGACACACCTATTGAACCATGCAAAAAGAGGAGAAAAAGGAGTCATAGTGGTTCTGAGAGGAGCAGTGATACTGATTGCCCTCCACAGTTACCCGCATTGACTGAAACAAGGAAGACTCCAAGTTGTCGAACAGAAGAATCTGACAGCTGCAGTGACAGTGATGAAAGCCCTATTAAACCATGCAGAAAGAGCAGCAGGTCGAATAGTGGGGACTCTGAGAACGAAAGCAGTGACTCTGATTGCCCTCTGATAGTATATGCTGCAGTGCAGGGAATTGTGGCTAAGAACAACATGAGTTACCATGACGATGAGCCTGTTTGCGACGATGAAGGAGAAGTCACTGGACACACATCAATGAGATATTCTAGGACTGAAAGAAATAGGAATATTGTTAGGGTGAGTTGTCCTGAGACAGAAGGAACAGAACAGAAGAACAGAAGAATCTGTTGTCGAACAGAAGAATCTGACAGCTGCAATGACAGTGATGAAAGCCCTATTAAACCATGCAGAGAGAGCAGCAGGTCGAATAGTGGGGACTCTGAGAACGAAAGCAGTGACTCTGATTGCCCTGTGATAGTATATGCTGCAGTGCAGGGAATTGTGACTAAGAACGACAAGAGTTACCATGACGATGAGCCTGTTTGCGACGATGAAGGAGAAGTCACTGGACACACATCAATGAGATATTCTAGGACTGAAAGAAATAGGAATATTGTTAGGGTGAGTTGTCCTGAGACAGAAGGAGAAGGGGTATCGGATGAAGTTAGGATTTTCTCTCGTCACTCCACTGCTGCTCCCACAACCGAGTCTGGTAATATTGGAGCGGAACCGATGCCATCAACATCATCTGGCGCTGCAGCTCACAAGTCACAATGCCGTAAGGATAAAGAGTCAGAGAACTGTCCGGCTTGTCCCATTTGCTTGGAACAATTTACCACACAGGAAGTTGGGACTATAGACACTTGCGACCATATTTTCTGTGCGGACTGTATCAAGAAATGGGGACAATGTGCCAATACTTGTCCAGTTGATCGACAGGTGTTTTCAATCATTAATGTTCGACCCCATCCAGGTGGAGAAATTATCACAGAGATCCCTTTTGAATCAAGAAGTCAACAACTCTTATTTTGTCGTATGTGTGGCGATAGTGATCATGGAGAGCGCATGCTTATTTGTGATGAATGTAATTTTGCCTTTCATTTTACATGCCTGGCGCCTCCTCTGAATACTACGCATTTGCTTGGATGGACCTGCCCTTATTGCGTCTACAGATTCTTCTTTTCTGATGTAATAGAATTCGCGTCTCAGTGGGTAGACAATGAAAATTTACCTGAATAGTTATACATCAATCCTAGAGGGAGACCAACCAGGAACAAACGAGGGCCACAACAAATGCGCAGAAGGACTTCCCGGAAGCAGACAGACTGACACCCAAGAAATAACAATAATTTTAATTGATTTATATCAGCTCCAAAAGTTCTATAAATGTAGATCTGGCTTTGTGTTCCACTTCTTGCCGTACAACGTCGGTTAATATCCATCCTTGTTTTCTTATTTATTGTATATAACTACATGTTTCGGCCTAACTGGCCATCACAAGATGTATAAGTAGTTCTGATAAAGGAAACTGCTGCACTGTTGTAATGTTTTTAGTTTTTCATCTGTGTAAATGCCTCAGATTGTTCTAGGTTATATGGTTTATTGTGCTGTTGTCATGCATGTGTTTGGTGTGTAATATATGATGTGCTATATGAGAGTTTTGTTTTAAGGTACATACTCATTTGTATTCTGTCCCTGCATATTCCATGTTACTTATGGTTTCGTCGGTTTATTGATTTGTTGATTTCGCTATTCTTGACTGCGGTGACGAAGAACAACCCTCCATAAAATTCGCTACAAAAAAAAAATTACACAACTCCATCAACTTTTTCGACCTCTCAATATACCGCAGTAAAAAAGAGATCGAATTTACAATATACAAATGCCCACTCAATGCCGGGTTTACACGAGTCAAGTCCTGGGTCAAGTATCTTGCCTCCGTACTTGCGTGGTTTGGTTCTACTTGACTTGACTTAACTACAGCCTGACAAACGTGTTTTCACGTAGTTCAGTAGATGTTCAAGTAGATGTACACGAAGTGTATACGAATCAAATGCCTGATATGAGAAAGCTGGTAATATTAGCCCTGCCGGCTTGCTCACTTGCATCATCTCTTGTTTACACGTGTAAAGTCAGCGGTCAAGTAGGCGATCAAGTGGTAAAATTCGTGATGGGGGTAGCAGTCAAGTCACTTGTCCACCGTGCAGAACTGCTTGACTTGTCTCGCTACTTGACGCAAGTCGGTACTTGACTTGACCGGAACTGTTTACACGATGCAAGAAAAATATTCTAATTAACTTTACCGCTCTACATGACCGTTTACTTGACCCATGTAAACCCGGCTTAACTCTGATGCTTCAATTGTTTTGTTCCTGAGCCTCAATGCTGGCAGTTGGCGCCTAGGGGCTCAACTGACTTAAATGATCTTCTGTGTTTTTCTATAAACCCTCGGCAGAGACCGCATATAAAACATAGCATTTCTATTGTTGTATGTATTCGTTTCCGTGGAAACGTGTTTATATAATTTTTCCAGAGCAACGGCTGTACGCGTTACATCTCGTTTCCTGACAATTCCTGTATTGTTGCGTGCGGCTGAATTACCTAGCATCGGCTGTTACTCTGGCTCCACAGTTCTTGCTCTGAGCAATTGCGCCACAATACATTGTGTCTGTGTGATTTCCTGTCGCAGTCTTGTTTTATAATATCTGCAAACTTCAACTGCATTACGCGATGACCCGTCCAAGAATTGCCAGTTAGGCGGGAAAATAAATTTGTATCAGCAATATATGGAGAATAAATTCGATTTTGGATTGAAACTTCCCACACTCTTATGATGACATTAAAGTTTACATTTATTTTCTTGTGAAATACTGTATTTTCTTCAAATAATGCATCCTGTTTTGTTATCCTATATAACTTCTTCGTTTTGTTTTCTGTGTCAACACAGCAACTATGAGAATATTGCGCGTGTTTGCGAGGCAATGCGACAAGAAATTGTGTGGGTTTCGGATTTTAACGAATATTTTTTGAACATCACTTTTACACTCGCAATGGTTAATCACAACTTAAAACGTCTTCTGACGTTTCCTCTTCAGTGTTACGACACTCTCGCACGCTAATCTCGGTGAAAGGTCTTCTAGTCTGTTCTCTTGCCGAATACCGACGCTGCTCTTCTAAGGACAAATATAAAATGAATTAGTCTCAAAGTCAAAGTCAAATTCACATTGCGACTGATGGTCAGTCAGGCAGGCAGTCAGTCTTGGTATCGAGCCCAATGTGGGGCGCATGACCTGACCTAGTCTTAGTCAAAGTCAAAGTCAAAGTGAACTAGTCTCCAAGTCCAAGTCACATTGCGACAGTCAGTCAGTAAGTCTTGGTGTCGAGCCCCATTTGGGGGTCATGACCAGATATTTATTACTGTTTGGCATTTACGGTCTTGTTTCTGTGGGCCGCCCTCTCTGACGAGAGGACGGGTCTGCCTTTTGTATATGCTACTGGCTCTTGCCAGTGCAGTCTTTCTCGTGTCCGAGTCTCTTGGGACTCGCGACCACATTTTACCGTCTCAGATTTGAGACTTCCCTTTTCGTCGCCTCCTACGACTCGCAGGGTCACGGTGGAGGTATTAGACCCCGCCTCCACACGGGGATCTCAGAGTCAGCGTCAGAGTCACAGTTACTTTACGACTGGCGGTTTACCGCCAATCAGTTCGTCTTGGCATCGGGCCCCTTGAGACCCACGACCAGAGAGTTTTTTTTTCGAACTGAACTCTTGCGGTAGTAGTCCTTATGTAACATCCTCTCTGACGAGAAGATGGATCTGTCACTTATGAATACATTCGACCCTTCGTCAAGTGTATATTTCGCACATATAGTGTTATCGAAAACTCTTCCTTTTGCCTTACACTCAAGTCCTCTGTCAGTACAGGCTTTACAGAGCAGATCATGCCTATCTTACATATCTTATGCTACAACGAAAACTCAATCATTTGAATGGTGGTAAGCTTAACCGGCGCCAAGTTAAAGCCTCTTATATTTTCTGTGTCTGGCTTCACTTTTTCCTATGCTGCGAACATGTGCATACTCATCATTTTGTATGACTTCTGCTTGTCGCCTACAGAATTTTGTTATACAGTCGTGTACATACGGAAAGTTGACAAACGGTTCTGGTATATTTGATTATATCGCCGTTGTTGTATAGTAACGGCTCTGAACAATACAATATTTAGAAAATTATTTTAACCAGGAGAGAGCTAAAGCACAGGAACTCTGATGGAAATTTGTTAATAATTGAAATCTGCTTGAGTCTTTCTTCTTTTGCGTTAGATCTGTTTTGCAAACATGTAATCAACTGCAAGAATGGAACGCTACTCCAGTCAAGTCTGTCCGATGCACACTGCATACATTCGTGTCTCGACTGCTCTGTGTATAATATTCCCTGAACAATGAACAGGTGACAGCTGTTCTTTGCATTTCAGAAAATTCAGTCGTAGAAATGCAATGATGCATACTGTTCATATTTAAAGTTCATTCTTATGCTCTTCATGGGCATACAAATTATCACCCCTAAACTCTTAAACTTCAGGTGTACAAAGCGGATTTCTGGGGTACGGCATTCACTGCTTTGTAACATTTTCTCCCTTTATTTGCAGGGTCCATTTCTACCTTGAAGAAAGAGGTACTGTGTTCTTGCAAAATGATCTGCCCATTTACAAGAGTACACATTATCAAAGCACATCATAGTTCAGAATGGTTCAATTTTTGTAGACAACAATACTACTAAAATCGTCATGTAATCAAGTCAGGACAAATATATATGCGAAAAAAAAATGCTGTGACGGATGAAAGAGAAGAAGCAACTGAATTTGTTCTTAAGCAGAAATAAAGCTATTATTTTTTTTTAATTCGTTTAGTGGGGGGTGGAGTCCAACTGGGTCTACTCGGCACGGCGGCCAATGATTGGCCTATTGTACCTGCCCCGTGTGATTACGATGATGGAGAGTTTGTGTGGAATGAAGATTGGCAGGGGAAACCGAAGTACTCGGAGAAAACCCGCCCCAGCACCACTCTGTCCACCACACATCCCACTTGACCAGACCCGGGATCGAACGCGGGCCGCCGCGGTGGGAAGCCAGCGACTAACCGCTTGAGCTATGGTGCGGCTTTAATAAAGCCATTATGTCTCACCAATCTTTTATGCTGCACCATCACAAGATATTGGCGTAATTCGTTGCATTATGATTACTGAACTACCCTTCTGTGTCACGAACACAGTGAAACAAAAGGGATCTACCGCGAACAAGGTAACACATTCAAATTACGGAAGGAAGAAAACTCGCCATAAGGGGGAACTGGGATGCCTGCTCAAGTACCTCTGTAACAAGGATCAGCAATCTGATAGCATTCATTATAACAGTTTGTTCTCTACCGAGTAAATATTGTCTTTCTTCTAGAGATTCAACTGCTTCATTATAGAACTGGAAAATCCGAACCCAGTGCCCTTGTTTATGTTTATGACGACACAGAGATGAGCTTATCAAAACAATTTAGTGTCACATCAGTGTATAAGTAGAGCCGTTGGGATATCGTACAGAGAGAGATTTTAGAATCTGTTTCCTATCCTACCGGATACTTACCCTTCCGAGGGACTCAACTAACCATGCGGTTTCTTGTTACATAAAGCAGTGCCTAACGAGCCATCAGTTTCCACGGCATTGTCTATTTTTGCCTCAATACAAGCAAAAAAGTTTTACATTTCTTTTTCTGGGTAAGGCTGTCAATAACATTAAATCAATGCCATTAAAATATTTATATAAACCCACTGAAAAAAACTTTTAGTCAGTTAAAAATGTCTGTACGGTATTATTACAAAGAAGTATAAAAATAAGTGTATCAAAATAATAACATAAATTTAAAATATGCATATTCACTAAATTTGTTTTCTATTCAGCAGCATAATTACGAGTTTATGTTGTGGGATGCAGACCCGTTGCTAGACGGTCACTGTAAAGCTACTGCTGCTGTATACACGTATAGTGGCCCACAAACAACAGTGGAATGGTGTTTTCTGCGAGGTCCACTAAAAATAATTGAACAGCAACGAGGAGCGGCGTCTTTTGTGAGCGGTTCGTGCAGAGATGTTAGATGTATAAGCAAGATAACTGTTAAGAACGTGAGAACGGGTGCATCGAGTACTGTTGGGATCCTTTACCAGGCAACGACTGGTGAAGACAGAGCAGTCTG